GGGAATTCAATGTGTTATAATGCCATAGAGTCCATCTTCCACAGCAACCATTTTCTCCAGGTGAACTGATCTCTGTCACATAGGGTTGCCAAATCTTTTTTACCTGGTGGCGGGGGGCTCCTGCCCGGCGTCCTGAGTGCGTGCACGCGCGTGTGTGGCTGCCATTTGAGGGGAAAACTCTATGTTTTCCCCTCAAATAGCTGTGGCCCCGCCCCCAGCGTGCCCGGCGTCTGTACGTCACATCCGGGCGGCGCGCATGCGCACCCTCCAGATGCCGGGCAGGAGCCCCCCGCCGCCAGGTAAGAATCATTTGGCAACCCTAGGTAGCTAGTCACTCAGTTGAGTTCTGTGGTAGACCATGCCAGGCCTTGAAAAGTCGGACACGTTGTGTGGGGGCTTCTGTTCGGCCCCGTTGAGTTGCCCGACAACCACTGCTGCATCAGGATAAATTGCGGGACTTTCATGGTAGCAGGTTGCCCAATGAGTTCTCCCTCCAGGGAGCAGGGCTGGACGTGGGAGGCCACAATAGTCCTGGAAAGGGCTGTTCCCCTGCCTTTTACTGATGGAAATCAAGGTTTGAAGGTTGGCAGTGTTGTTGCTGCATAGCAACTCCCATAGAGGCCACTGAGATCTCAGAGGGCATCTATTTTTTAAAGGTACAGGTGCTGTTTCTATTATTATGGAGGGTTGACTCCCATTTCTGTATCGTTTTCATTTCATGCTAGATTTCAGACTTTTCTGCAAACCCTAGGGCCTTTTTTGAATTTGTAGAAAAATCTCTCTCGTCTGTTCATGGCTCCAGTCTGTGGATTTAACTATCCACAGATGAGGCTGTGTTGAGAATTAGATACATTGATAAATGATGAAGGGGTGATAAATGGGGGAGGGGTGATTAATGATGGCAGCACGTGCAGCAATGTCTTACCTTCTTTGGTGACTGTATTCATAAAAGCTTGCAAGGGAGACTTCGGGGAAACTCTCTTCTAACTGTGTTGGCTTCTTCCTCCCTCTCTTTTTTAAAGATTTAGTTACAGTCTTGGCACAGAAGCATTATTTCAACAAACAGTCAGTTTTTGTGCATCCTTACTATGACTCTTTGGGCACAGCTCTGTATGGGAAGGCAAGGCCACAACCTAAGATGCCGGAACCAATCAGAATCTCCTTGGATCTATACCACTGGCAGTTCTTACAGCGGAATAGGCATTTACTTCAGGAAATAGATTGTGAAATGGCCAACCACTGTTGTGAGATACAATGGCCTATAGGACATTGTGCGCACCCAGAAATTACAATTTGTCCTTCACGTGCCTTGTTCAAACAAAAGAAGTCCTTGGCTGGGACTTGGAATGAAAGTGCTCCCAGCCAATTTGCTCAAATTCTGTCAAAGCACAAAGTTGTGAAGTGCAAAGTGACTGCTGAGGTATGGGAAGCCATAAGAAACAGCGTAGTAAAAGATGACATTTTGATCTTCCCGGATATTCCAGAAGGAATAGTGGCTTTGGTGGGGGCAGTAGAAGATGTAAATTGTGCAGAGCAAGAGATGAAGGTGCTCATAGGGAATGCTGTTAAAAAGATTGAACGAGAGAAGCAGGCGATAGAGGTGATTGTGACAGTTGATGCTGTAAAGTACACAATTTTAAAAAATGCCGGACTACAGGACAGTATTGGTGTGGAGTATCCAGACCTGAAGGTTTCCTATGATACTTCAAAAGAGTGTATAATTTTGTTTGGTGTACCTGCTGAAGTTTATAAAATAAAAAGCGATATCTTTGAAAGAATATCCAGTATGGTCCAGAAGACTATTGATGTTCATGCTTACGTGCTGGTTTTTCTACAACATGTAGATAATGAGAATCTGTCACACATCTTATTCTGGGCCAAAAAAATCAACGCCTTTTATGAGCTCAAGGAGAAGGAAGTCCTGCTGACAGGAATAACTCCTCGTGACCTTCTACAAGCTGAAGGAGAAATGAAGAAGGACCTGGACTACAGATGTGTTGAACTGGAAGACAATTCAGTCATCCAGAAGAGCGCCTGGAGGGAACTGACCGATAGTTTGTACAAGGCTCATAACTGTTCAGCCGAAGCGATCATAATTAACGAATTGGAGGATCGAGTAGTCATAGCAGGTTATTTCGGAGAGGTGGCCAGTGCCACTCAGAAGGTCTCTGATTTTGTTGATAGCAACACTTACATACAAAAAACCATCAAGACTAATTCTGAGGCCGTCACAATGTATGCGGAGAAGGAAAGACACAATATTTGGCACAGTCTGGTGCAGCGTGGTGTGAAGGTTGATTTTGGTGTGCAGACGAATCGCAAACTGATTTCCCTTAATGGTCCCAGAGCAGAAGTTCTTAAAGGACTTGATCTCATGAAAAATCTACTGTCTTCTCTGACTGCTACAAGAATGATAGTTGATAAACCTGGAGCCAAAACTTTGTTCAAGGAACAAGAACATTTGTATATTACAGGGGCAAAGCAACAATTTAATTGCTTGATAAGGCTTCAGGAAGATGGGGAAGAACTTGAGAAGGACGATGACAATGGGAATGTTCATGAAGGATGTGGGAAGCTGTGCTGCGAAGTTAAGATGGGAAATGGCATTGTAGTAGCAGTCCGTAAGGGTGACTTGACTTGCTATCCAGCCGATGTTGTGGTCAATGCGTCAAACGAAGACCTGAAGCATATTGGCGGTCTTGCCGATGCTTTGTTACAAGCAGCAGGTCCCGAGCTACAAAGAGAATGTGATGAACTTGTGAGGAGACATGGACATTTGAAGCCTGGCTGTGCAGTTATCACAGATGCCGGGAATCTACCATGTAAACAGCTGGTTCATGCAGTTGGGCCAAGGTGGAAAAGTTCTGAGAAGGAGAAGTCTATACTGCTGTTAAAGAAAGCAGTGAGGGAAAGTTTACAGCTGGCAGCATCCCATAATCATCGTTCTATAGCCATCCCTGCCATCAGTTCTGGGATCTTTGGATTCCCGCTAAAAGAGTGTGCCCATTCCATTGTGACAGCCGTCAAGGAAACCTTACAGGAACCCACTGGGACTGGCTGCCTGAAACAGATAGACCTTGTGGGCCTTAAGGAAGATACAATTGAGGCTCTCACTGGTGCCTTGAATGAAGCGTTCAGAGATGGATCATCCCCATCTAGAGGCAGATCTTCTCCATCGAACTCTGAAACTGGTAACCGCCCCAGACAGAGAAGAACAGAACATCAAGGAATAACTACTCCTGAAGGCCTGATGATAATACTACACCAGAAAGGAATCGAAGATGCCGCAGTAAGTATGCTGTTACAATTTATATCATAAACCTTGGCAGAAGCTACTTTGGCCTTCATAGTTAGCATAGTAATGTGCAGTTGGGCTAATACTTAAGTTTGGGTGTTTATTGGGTGTTTATTTGCTCATATTACTGTGCAGAGTTACAATACAGCCTAGGCTGGGAGGGCGGGGTATAAGTACAATTGATTAATTAATTAATTAATTATGATGTTGGAAGAACTTGAAACTGACTTGGGAGGATATGCAGACTTGAACAAGTAATGTATTCTCAAGCAGGTCTCTGGAGTGGTAGCATAGACATAAAGTAAAAGTAACGGTTCCCTTGCTCGAAAGCCAGTCGAGTCCGACTCTAGGGTTGCGGTGCTCATCTCCGTTTCAAAGCCGAAGAGCCAGCGCTGTCCGAAGATGTTTCCGTGGTCATGTGGCCGGCATGACTAAACACCAAGGAGCACGGAACGCTGTTACCTTCCCACCGAAGTGGTACCTATTGATCTACTTGCAATTTCTTGCTTTCGAACTGCTAGGTTGGCAGAAGCTGGAACTAGAGACGGGAGCTCACCCCGTCATGAGGAGCACCCGGGTCTCGAACTGCTGAACTACTGACCTTTCACAGCCTGCAGTTCAGCGTCTTAACCACTTGAGCCACCGCAGCTCCTAGCATAGACATAGGGTTACCCATATTTTGAGAAGCATAAAAGAGGACATATTTCCCAACTGACTACTTGAAACAAGTGATCACTATGAGGGCTTCTTTTTCTGGGGGGAAAGCACCATAACAGAGTTCTGGAACCTCTTCAACAAAATTCTCTTTAATATGTTAAATGTTCGTGGGTTTTTCAGTACACGCATTGAAAGTTTCATTTCCCTCTGGAGAGTTCCAGCACCTCTGACAAATCTGATTTTAAATACCCCTAGTATTTAAGCTGTGATCATTGCTACTAGCTAGGGATATTCCTAACCTTCCAACCCCAAAAAGAGGACCTTTTCGTCAGTTTTTTAAAAAGATCCCAAAAGAGGGCGGACACCAAAAACAGAGGACATCTGGTAACCCCAATATAAATTTTCTGGTAAATAAGTTTCTGCAACTTGCATAGTAGCCTTAACTCTGGAGTAACAAGGGTTATTTAAATATCCTAAAACTTTTGTGTCGAAAGGCGCTATACAGCTCTCTATCATCTCCTGCCTCCTACGCCGTTACTAAATTTATTTTAATTTTTGTATCGCCTTGGGATGTTTTGGAGTTCGTATTTAGATTTCAGTGATAATCGAATACAAAGTTACTAGCGCGCTTTATGTTTATAATTTCATTTTCTCTGTGTTGACGTCTTGGAATTTTTTTTCAGGTTGGTTTGGGACAGTGCTCCCCTCCCCTTCTAGACCCTGATGTAGATTAACACCTGTGCACACCTTTACCTGTATACCTTATAACAGGCGCTGGTTTGCCCGTGAGTCCAAGGGAAGCACAGTTGCCCTTGCCCAAGACCTGTGCTTTCATTCTATGTAAAAGGGAGCAGTGATCCTTAAGGCAGAGAAAGTGCCAAGACTGAAGCATTATGTGGTGGCAGGCAAACAGTCCTGGTGCCTACTCTCTACAACTGAACACCAATGTTTTAAACACTAAATATTTCTCTTGTAATCTGAGAAGGCTACTAGCTCTTTAAACATAGTCAAGGGAAAGAACTTGCTGTGCATGGAGCTGTAATAGCTCTACATAATTTGCCCCTGGAGTGCTCACCCAGAGAATGCCCCTTGTTTTCCGTCATGTGGCCGATGTCGGCATTCATCAGATGTCATTCTGAACATTTATCTGCTTTGTCTCAGTGACCAGGGACAATATCCCCAGCCGTTCCTCTACCTAAGCAGAAGGACTTCTTCAGGAACCTTTGGAGTAGGGAGGGGAGGCATTAGCAGATATTATTTCACACTGGGCTCCTGTCCTGGGGCAGAGCAGACTTATTCGAGACCAAGGGGATGAGACAGGATCACTAACCAAAATCGCAAAGCCGAGAGTTCAGTAAAAGAGTCATACACGAGGGAAGCCAGCTGAGGGTCCAAGAAGCAGAGTCTGAGCAGGTCCAAGAGGCATACTCCAAGCAGGTCCAAGGTCAAAGCCAAAGGTTCAGGAATTGCAGAGTGAAACAGGTCCAGATGGTGTGGTCGCACATCTCCAGAACGTTGATGAGTTGCTCCCACACCTACTCCATGGGCAGTTCACAGCTGGGTCTCATTGCTTGCAAGAGAGCCATCCATTTGGCTCAGTAACCCCAGGTGTTCCTCTTGATTTGGCAGTCAATAGGCAGCGAGACGTGCACTCCACCTCCTCTTGAGGAGCTCCAAGTGCGCCCGCTGCCTCCTGTGTTCCCCTGGCTCCTGGGAAAGTGGAGGCAAGGCAGCCTGTGAAGTCCCCCCAAGATCTTGGGTTGTTGAGGGGCCGCCTCTCTGGGTTGCCTCTTCCGTGTTCCTGGTGCTCATGAGGCTGGAGCACATGCCATCCTAAACAACTGGGGCACTAGGACCTGCTTTCGCCGTCTCAGGGTCATTGACAGCATCAGCTGTTTGAGCCTCAGAGTTGCTGATGGCAGTGTTATCAGCATCAGCCGAGTGATCCTCAGCTAAAGGAGGCTGGCCCACGACAGTTCCCTAGAGGGAAAAATATTGGAATTATTGTTGTTGTTAAGATCATAAGAGAAGCCAATTTTGGATCAGGCCAATGGCCCATCCAGTCCAACACTCTGTCACACAGTGGCCAAAAATACCAGGTGCCATCAGTGGGGCCGGGACACTAGAAGCCCTCCCACTGTTGACCCCCCCCCAAGCACCAAGAAGACAGAGCATCACTTGCCCCAGAGTCCCCCTATCTATACCTTGTGGCTAATAGCCAACGATGGACCTCTGCTCCATATGCTTATCTAATTCCCTCTTGAAGCCATCCATGCTTGTAGTCACCACCACCTCCTGTGGCAGTGAATTCCATGTGTTAAATTCCATGTGTTAATTACTCTGGGTGAAGAAGTACTTCCTTTTATCTGTTCTAACCTGACCGCTCAGCAATGTTCATGGAGTGCCCACGAGTTCTTGTATTGCTCTATCCCATACATAATCTTATAAACCTCAATCATGTCACTCCTCAGTCGTCGTTTCTCCAAGCTAAAGAGCCCTAAGCGCCTTAACCTTTCCTCATAGGGAAAGTGTTCCAACCCTTTTATCATTCGAGTTGCCCTTTTCTGCACTTTTTCCAAAGCTATAATATCCTTTTTAAGGTGTGGTGACCAGAACTGCACACAGTATTCCAGATGAGGTCGCACCATTGATTTATATAGAGGCATTATGATATTGGCTGATCTGTTTACAATACCCTTCCTAATAATCCCCAGCATAGCATTGGCCTTCTTTATTGCAGTCACACACTGTCTCGACATTTTCAGTGAGTTATCCAACTTCATATCATCCGCAAATTTAGCCACTTCACTGCTTACTCCCAACTCCAAATCATTAATGAACAAGTTAAAAAGCATCGGACTGAATACTTAACGAACAAATTAAAAAGCATTGGACTGAGTACATATATTAAGTACAGTCTGTCTTTCTCACTGAGACTCAAGGCAGATTACATAGTTAAGACAAGTACAAGGAACAGGATGGGGAAAAGGGTTCTAGCTTAAAACTAGTACAGAATGCTACAAAGAAAACTGGCAAAATTGGCTGCCATGTTGCTAGTTCTCTATCTTTACCTGTCTAGGCTGCAGATTGGATGGGGCAGGTGCCATAATAGAAGAGCAGGCACCATACTGATTAAGACCGTACTAAAATGTAGCATTGGCAGCATAGACGTCTCCCTTCCCATCTGCATCCTCACAATTCTTCTTGTGTCGAGTGGAAATACTATTCTTCCCCTATCTCCTTTTCTTGTGTCAGTCTCTGTAAAGCATGAGATCCATCAGTGGCCCTATATAACTGGAGAAAATTGTCGCTGCTGGATAGAAGGGGACTGTACAAGAACACCCCACGATTGTTGACTGAGCTCTGTTTTGAGAGTTTGGGGACTTGGTTTTTGGGTGTATTCATGTATACCAAGAAGGGCTGGTTGGTTGGCTGGTCTTTGCAAGGAGAATACCACCTTCTGCTGAGTCATAGGTCATCTCCATGACAGCATGAAAGAGGAAATGACAGCATGAAATTGAAGGCATTGGGACTGCTTCCTGACACTAGCTTTAACTGGGAGCCCACCCATAGGGATGTTCCTGGGCAGGGATGGTTCTATATGAGCAAGATGATTGCTTTATACATTGTGATGTTTGGTTAAACCTTCAGATTTTTTTTTAAGCTTTATTTTTAGGTACTCTAAGGCTGTGATCACACACACTAAATAATCCACTTTCAATCCACTTTCAATGCACTTTCAAACTGGATTTTGCCAGTTCACACAGTAAAATCCAGTTGGAAAGTAGATTGAAAGTGGATTATTTAGTGTGTGCGATCGCAGCCTAAATTAGAGTCCTGAAAATCTTATCGCTGCAGGTAAGTTCTAGAGAATGTGCTGATGTGTCTACTCGTAGCCTGTGAGTTTTCCATCACTCAACTATCTTTCTTCTCTCTATTTTTTTTAAAGACCGATGTTGTTGTGAACAGTGTTGCCAGAGACCTAAAGCTTGACAAAGGCCCACTCTCCAAAGCTCTGCTGGGCAAGGCAGGAGCAGGGCTCCAGGAGGAGTTGGTCACACAAGGCCGAGGAAGAACCATTACAGAAGGCTGTGTGTTAAAAACAAAAGGCTATGGACTGGGTTGCTCTTATGTGCTCCATGCAGTTTTGCCTGGCTGGGCCCAAGGTCAAAAATCTGAAGACAAGGTAGATTAACGTGTGTGTGCACACAAGAAGCTTATACCTTGAATAAAACTCCGTTGGTCTTAAAGATGCCACTGGACTTGAACTAGGGCTGCCAAGTCCCCCCGGGGAGGCCCGTTCCCCGGCGCTGCCGGATCGGGCCCTGGGGGAACCCCACCCCCAAAGCACGTCACACGGAAGTGACATAAGCATGTTGGGGGCGGGGCCACAATCATCCCTCGGACTTCCCCCCCAACTTCCCTACGTGCTTACGTCACATCTGTGTGACAAGACTCCCGGAGCGAGCCTGGACTCCCCTGCTCCGGGCCAGGTGAGTACTTGGCAACCCTAACTTGAACTTTGTTCTGAAGACAAGGTAGTATTGGAACTTTTGCCTCACACTTGGGATGTCTTAGCAGATGTAATTTTTCGCTGCTTATTAAGTATACATGTCTGTCTCTCAAGAATCCTGAAGGATGCCAAGGGAGAGTGACTGAGACTTGCTGAAGGTCACCCGGAAAGTGGTTTGACTGGGGGTGGGATTTGAGCCTGAGTCCTCTTGTGTCCACCGCTGGCCCTTTGTAGTCACACCTACCTCTTTGTGCACTGCACTGCAGTTTATTTATTTATTAGATTTATATCCCGCCCTTTCCAGGTGGGCTCAGGGCTGCTTCCAACAGCGGCAAATGCCATAACAAACAGTTAAAACAGTATAAAACAATCAATAAATAAAGTGTGGTGCTCTAGATATTAATTTATCTCTCCAGGATGGGATCCTTTTATCACCTAGCCTGACAACATAGGTTCTTGGTCACCTAGGTGTCTTCCCAGGGCCGGTTCACTTATAGATCTAATCCACCGTTGTCCATTTTAATTGGATGCTCATGTTTTGTGACTGCATTTCTTACACGGTTGTTCTTGAGAGGCACAGTTGTCAACTGATTAGAGGAACTGATGCCAAGCTTAAAGGTCTGCATTGAAATCTCACTTAGATTACTGCCTCCAGTACTTCTTTCTAGCTCTAGGCATGTACCTCATCCAGCATGGTGGCTGGTCCGTTGGCTTGGATGTCGGAAATGGGTACATTCATTGTCTAGCCATATGCACCCTTTCAACTAAGTATGAGTTGTAGTTTACTTCATGTTTAATTTTATGAGTTTAGACCCTTGAACAACTTTTAAACTTCAGATTCTCAAAGAAACGTGTTCTCTTGTTTGCCCATCAGAACTTGGGGAAAATTATTGATGAATGTTTGACCATCACTGAACAGCATTTTCTGACTTCCATCACAATTCCAGCGGTTGGAACTGGTAATTTAGGATTTCCCAAGCCACTTGTTGCCAAGTTGATGTTTGATGAAGTGTTCAAATTCAGTCAGAAAAACAATCCAACGGCCCTTCAAGAGGTTCATTTTGTGTTGCATCCAAGTGACACTGACTGTATCAAGGTAACTTCCGTTCATCTAGGTACCTCTCTGTTGAAATGCTTCTCATTTTTCAAGGTGACCTTGAAAGCTAACAGCAATGCAATCCTATATTGTCAGATGACTGCTAAGATGTGGGAAGCCATAAGAAACAGTGTAGTAAAAGATGACGTTTTAATCCTCCCAGATATTCCAGAAGGAACAGTTGGCAAGTAAAAATTGCTGTGGCTAATGATGTGTTGCTGTGGCTAAAGGTGTGTTGGTCCAAAGCAATATTCAAAAAACAGAAGCCACATCAACACCTTATTTTAGGATGAGTCGGAATATCACAAAACAGTGTAAGGACCTCTTCAAGGTTGGTTTGGAGTCTTGCTCAGTGGTGGTTGAGGAATATAGAGTTCGTCGTCGTCCTTCTGTGCAGCCCCACATTTGGGACTGTGCATGTGTAGGCCTGCCTCCAGAGGAAATGTCTAGCTCTGCAGGGGCGCCCCTCCCCTTTCAGTGCATGGGTTTGCTTTCTGCTGAAAGCAACACACTGAGGAGGAGTGACATCATTTTCCCCTCAGTTCTTCTTTGGCTGACAAGCTGAGAGGATCTTTCCTATTCTCTGTCTCGCTTTATCACAGTAAACTGCTGCCATTTCCATGGCTCAAAACCCACTTTTTAAGAAGTGCCAAACTGCGGATTGATTGTCATGACCATAACTGGAAGTTGTGAGCCCACGGAAAACCAGCTGTTATTCCTGAACGGAGCCACAGCCCCTGCTTTCCAAAGCAGATATTGCCATGGAACTCCTTTTAAAAGTCTCTTCATATTTATGTATACTTAAAAAAAAAAAACTCTCTGAATGCTGATGTAGCCTGTCACTGTTATCTTTTTCCTCTAGTCATTTACAGATGAATTAAACAGCAGACTGGGTATGGGCCATAGTGGTGTTTCAGTGTCGAAGCCACTACTTGAGAATCCCCAGCAAGGCCAAGGTAAATCCTGACTTGACAAAGGCAAGGGGGTCGTTTCCCAGGTGTGGGAGGGTTCAGACAGACCTCACTAAGATCTCACACATCTCTAGTTGCCAGCTCTGGTATTCTCAGTTTGCTTTGAGGCGCTGCAGAAAAGGAAGAAGAGGTTTAACTCTTCTACCTCCCTTACATTTAGGTAGTTGAAATAGTTTTCTATTTTTTTCTATTCATTTTAAAGGAGGGGAAAGACATGTACATTAAAAGCAAGTCCTTTCCCCCACTTTAATTGTTGATCGCAGAGCTTGGAGCCCCGTTTTAGTTGTGGGGATTGAAAAGTTAAATCCCCTCTCCCTTCTTTGCATCTCAAAAGGAACTGGGCTGCAGAGTGCACTTTATGGACGGGCAGAGTTGCCTGATACTCCTCCAGTCTGTTTCAACCCGTAGTAATCCTAGAACATCATTTTCAGGAGCAAGAGTGGGAAGTGATCTGTATAGAATACTACCAGCTTGCTTTACTGACCAGTCTCTCTTTGTCCTTTTCACCAATCAGATGCTTCCCCTACTGTGGTATGCACAGAGGACTTGTGGGGGAGGCAAATATTTGACTGCTCTGAGATACAGAGAGAGTAAGATTTGATGGGAGAGATTTCTCCTGTTGCTTACCTAATCTGTAGGGCAAAGGGGAGTCCAGAGGATAAAAGTTTGTGTTGCTAGCTTCCATTCTTGCCAGAGTGCAAAGGACAGTTGCTCCTGGCAAGTGAGTATATGGATACTTGTATGGAATGATGGACCCTGACCTGAATAGCCCGGGCTAGCGTGATGTCGTCAGTTCTTGTAAGCTAGGTGGAGTTGGCCATGGTTAGTATTTGGATGGGAGGCCACCAAGGAGCACCAGGTCTCTCTACACACAGGCAAGCAGTGACAAATCATCTCTGAGTGTCTCTTGCCTTGAAAACTCTGTGGGGTTGCCATAAGTCGGCTATGACTTGACAACAACAAAAAAGAGAAAAAAAGAAGGGAATGTTAGG